TCAACCATATAATATATAAAAAAACGCAATTATTTCACTTAGTGGTTGATAATTCTTTAATCAATCAGTTTTTAACACAGCAAAAAAGACTCGCAACAGTATATAAAACTAAGGTTATTAGGATCTCCACTAAGTGGAATTTGGATGCCAATGAGAATATATTGTTGTCTGTGAAGAGGGTTAGCGGGATAGGGTATCCTAGTTAATCTGTTGGTCTGCTCCATTTATATATGTCCTTTTCTTTTTGCTCTGTTTCGAATTCAGCGTCACAAGGCACCACTACAGGCTGTAATTTGAATCGAATTTTCTAAGTTATGAGGGGTTTCTAAATACAGAAGATTTAGCAGCTTTAGTATAACTCAAGTACAAGAATTAGTTTTGTGAACGAGGGACAAAATTAAGGTTAACAAAAGGACAGAGACTTCTAGGCATAAGGAGGATGTAAATTGTGATTTGGGAAGCGTTAGAGAAATTGGTACTAATCCAGCACAGAGATCAAATGAAGAACACAAACTCAGCCACACACACAATAAATGTTTATTTTTTTAGGTGGAACAGAATCCCAAATCACATTAGATTTGAGACTAATTCCTTTCGAGCCGGAAGCAGTTAAAGAATAACTCTCCCAGCAAGTACGTTTCTGGATATTTAAATTTGTGTTCTTCTCCTTACAAAGTAAGATCATTGTCACTTCAATCAATAGCTTATTGATGCAGTAAAGGTTTATTTAAACATGTGACTAGTATGTTTGAAGTCACATGTTTGAATACGATGTTTAAGTGTGAATTTCTGCATTTTGTTCAATTTTGTTTGCTTTGAATAAAAAAGAAAGTTCTCATATAGTTATAGGACAAAAAATATACTAAACAAAATTTAAGGCGTGGATTTTCATTTTCAAAAAAATTCATTCTTGGTTTTATGAAGTTAACGTTATTTTTACAAGCCAAAGCCCGTTGACTCAAATGGAAATTATGAACAATGTTATTCTTATAGGAAAGAATTATGATAAGGTGCTCATAATACAAGATTTAAATGAGCTGAATCCTAAATATTTAGCTCATTCTTATCAACTGAACTAAGATAACAACATAATTCCACTAAAAACCTTAGAACAATAAAGCTAATTAAATAAACTCAAAAGGCAATATATATACTAACTAGTATTATCTTTGTGGCCTCTCACTTAGTGGAGGATATAGATGCTTCATGATCTCTCGTAGTTGTAATTAATCACTCTAAAGTCTAAACTAAAATAACACAAAACAATCAAGAGTTAATCCAGTTGGTAAAAAATCGGCTTATAACCCAAAAGGTCGTAAGTTCGAATTCTGCTACCGATGCGAGGACCTTGTTGGTGGGTGATAGGCATTAGGCATGTCCTGGTCCTGATGAGCTCTCGAGACCCAACTCACCTAAACATTTTTTTATTAAAAAAAAAAAGACAACAAACAAAAAGGCTTTTAATGCAGATACAAGCTGACGACGTCAAAGACTTTATATGCAAAGTCCAATTAATCCCGTCTCTAAGGGCGCTGTCCTTTCAGCAATTTGAAGAGCCACATTGAAATTATTAGTTTCATTTCACGCTCTTCTTCTAAACATTTTTATTATAAATATTTTTAAATTTAATCACATAGATTTTGAATTATATACTACAATCTTAAAGAGCACTTTTTTTTTTCATTATGATGCTCCATAAGAAGATTAAATAAACATATTTATGATAAAATAAGACAAAATGATATAGGTATACATGGAATGTAGACAAAGCAATATGTTGTTTTTAGTTTTTCTTTCATGTGTTATAATATGACCTTGACTTCGCATTATGTCCTTCCAAACAGAAATATAGTGATTCATTTTTATATATTTAGTAAATAAATTTTATCCTATCTAGTAACTTCATTTTTTAAAGAGTTGAATGGTGCAAGACAATAGTTATTACTACTAATTTTAGAATAAGATCAAAATGACTTAGAGTTAAACCATATAAAATCTAAATACTACTACCTCCCGTCCTTCATACTCTCTCAGTCCTAAATGTAGAACCCATTTTATAATACAATTTGCATTATAAAATGGGTCTTACATTTAAGATTGAAAAGAAAATGAGATATAGAATAGGATTGGAGGTAATATGAATATACTTAATCATAGTTTTTCATACACCGCGTGAAAAGAGCCCAGTAGGTCCAAACACAATTTTACATAAACTAACATAGTTATAAACACCTATTAATAATTTTTACAATAATTAAAAAAACTAGTTATTTTTATAAAATGTCAAAATTACCCTCAATAAAAGCCATAAATAACCTACACACTCAGCACACAAACTACCATATTTAGAGTAGAGCTGGGAATCAGGGCCGGCCCTTCAGGGCTGGCGGGCTTAAAAGGGCTGGCCCTCCAGGGCTGAAATTTTAAAAATACCTTAATTTGCTAGGCCCAACCCTTAACCTGCAGGGCCGGGGCCGGCCTGCGAGCTTTTGGCCCGTTTAAGAAAAAATACTATTTTTTTATATTTATCATATTTTTTTATAAAAATATAAAAATAAATCAATGAAATTATTAATAAAATACATAAATATGAATAAAATTAAGTTACAAATATAAAATATCATCATATATAAATATTCATCAACATCTAAGAACATCTAAAACATTCATTAACAAGATAACATCTAAAAGTTTTATTTATAATGCAATTGTGTAATAAATAAACACTATCATTGATCTTTTGAAACTTCATCATCACTATAATTAATTACTTTTCTTTATAAGTATGCTTTTCTTTCGTAACAAAAATATCAAGTTTTTCTTCTTTATAAGAATTTTATTTTTAAATTTTACAATCTAACTATTATTTTACTTTAATGTGAGAAACATTGTTGTTGAAACTCATGAATTTCTAATTCAAATTATAGAATCACAAGTTATATAAGTATAAAAATATTCTATTATCAAATATATATATAGTTTAAAAATATTAACGCATATAATATAAATCAAATTATTATTAAAGTCCAAATTAACCCATTTTTTAAAAATTTAATTGGATAAATTATTGTCTAAAACTAAATTTAATTTTAAAATGATAAAAATAACTAAATATTTAAAATATTATTAACAATGTAAAAAATTAATAACATTAATATTATATAAAAAATTTTAAAAAATAAAAAAATTATAAAATGGCTTAAAAGGGCCGGCCCTTTTAAGCCCTCGGCCTTCCAGGACCAGCCCTCTAGGGTTTATTTCTCATTTTAAGAGAAAAATATCAAACCCGGCCCTCATAATTTCAGGACCTAAATGGGCCGGCCTGACGGGCTCGGCCCGTTTTCCCGGCTCTAATTCAGAGTACAGAACCAGCAGCCTCTTTTTTTTTTGGTACAAGTGAAGGCTAAAAGCCCAAGTTAAATACCGTTAGGATTGATTCCTGCACAATCATGATCCACTAGAGTTCGCAAACTCTCAGGGCAATTATCCCAAAAAGAGGAGTGAGAGATGCCCATCTTCGCAAGTCCGTCTGCCACCTTGTTCCCTTCTCTTGTTATATGCTTCAGCACAATTGTCCAGCTGAAATTCAGTAGCTCACAGATTCTAAAGAAAACAAGATTTCCATTTTGAATCTCAGCCTCTTTTATGAGAGTAAGGGTGAGATGCCATTTGAACAGTAAGCTCTTGGCATTGGATTAATATAATCTTTGGGCTTTTGAATTTGTTCTTATTTTCATATTAGTCTTTCAAATTTCAAACCATAAGTTTTGATCCTTTAAGAGACAAAAGGATCCAAATTTTTATTGGGTTATAGAGGCTAATGTTTTAAATGCAAAGAAACTTGAGATACCAAATCCTATGACTTGAAATTTAAAGAACCAAAACTAAAATGAGAACAAATTTAAGAGACTAAAATTTGAATTAATCCCTTGACTTTTCAGTATTATTTGTAAAAAAAAAATGATAATTAACATTTTTGACCTTGGCAATTGATACAAATTATATAAATTTATTAATTGGATTATCATCATTGCGTTGTGCATTTTGATTATTTTATGATTGCCGGTGACAAGGGCCAGGAATTTAATGCGAGACTTTCCGGAAAAGAATCATCGTACAATAATTCACCCAATGAAACGTTATTATATGGCAGCAGCAGCCAGTGCGGACAAATATGGTGCCGGTCCTAAATAATGCATTTGTCCATGGCATACTATTTAAATCGCTTCCCATTTTTCTTGTCCTTTGGCCAGTGGATCCCATGTCATATCAGGTTCCAAATAAATTACGATGTTATTCACAATTCATATTAAATTTACAAATTTATGCTGACAAGGTCTCTCTTTTTTAAAAAAAAAAAAATTTGTCCCTCTAAAATATAGATAATTTAATAAATATAAAATTAGGTTAAAAATCTCATATAAGACGAAATATTATTTTAGGAATTTAAATTATATGATTTATATTTCTACTTTATTTTCTAAATTATAGATATCTAAGACTAAATTTTTTTTTATTTCATTATATTTTAAATAAATTTACATAATATACAAATATATTATGCTCTACATCACTTTGTTCGATTTTATGTTTTAAAAAACTCACAATTTAACCATATGTTCCCGAATATCCATGTAATATTCTTATTACTCCCAGCAACAGAGGATCTGGCTTGTGGGTGTGGCAGCAGATAGGGGGAGATCAAGTTTGTTTTGCGGAGTACAAAGGCAAGCACTTGAAGGTTTACAAAACAAACATCAGATCACAAAACGGAATCTGGAGGAGATCAAGTTGAAACAACGTACTTCGCCGGAAAGAGACGAATGACGATGCTCCCAGGCCGCCTTTCATCTTTGGAATTAAAAATTTCCCAACCAACTCTTTCTTGGACGGATACTTTGTCACAAAGTAGAAGGAATTAACAATGTCGCTTGACAAAATATTTCTCATAAATCCTTTCCTCCGGTGTTCCATTTCAATTCGATTACTCGAAATCTAACATGCAGGACGCTATCACTATGAAGTCACTATCCCACAGTCTCCTCTGTTTTCCTCCTCTGCTAACGAAGAGACCCCAAAAATATCAATCCATCTCCACCAGCCCTGCCGGAAAGTTCTGTGTTTTTCGGGCGGAGATGCCAGCTATGACGTCTGTAGCAACACCCACGAGCTTTGGGTTCGTGAATTTGATGGAGACATTCACTGTGGATGTGCAGAGAGCGGAGAACAGGCCATTGAACGTGCCTTTGGTCGCCCCTTTTACGATCGCTTCTTCGAGATTAGACAAGGTGGAGAACGTGGCAATTAGAGTTGAATTGAGGAATGGTTCTGTCGGGTGGGGAGAGGCACCAATCTTGCCTTTTGTCACTGCAGAGGATCAACCTACTGCCATGGCCAATGCCGCTGAGGCATGTGACTTCTTGCGGCAAGCTCCTGCGCTGACATTGGGCTCCTTGTTGAAGGAGATTGGGGCTATTCTTCCAGGCCACGAGTTCGCTTCGGTGGGTGACATTGAACTCTGGTTTCGTTCTATTTATTGATTGTATTGCTTGCTATTATGGCAATTTGATTGTTTGTAGTTCTGGCCTGATGCTATATTCATTTACTTTTGAAAATGACGTGTCTATGTGCAATGCTTTGAATGCCCAACTGAATGCCATTTCAAATTGGAGCAGAAAACTACTATGCATCTGTTACCTTTTAAAAAGCCCTCCTTT